CCTTGCTATAGCATGCAAGCGCAATTGACCATTGATAATTACCCACCCCTTACTGATTGGGAATGTATAATTAAYTAAGCATTTTCTATCTCTCATAAATTTGAATTAATTAAAATTTAACAAAAAAGCTAGAGAATGAAAACCTATGACCACCTATAAAAGGATGTAGAARCTCAAAGGAAAAACATCAAACGCTTAGTCAGCCTTGAAGCAGCCACATCAAGTGCTGTTATTCAAAGTAAGAAATCAATTTCTAGAGCCTACAGTGTATCTGAGTATAAAAATGAACTCGCATTTGTACTGCATAACTAAATTAAGTTGGCTGCTGGTATTCATGCTGGTTTTCTGGCATCGTGCCGCTCAAGGATTGTGAGTATAATCTTGTTTATTTATCAGCGGCAATTATTTAACGAAACTCACTTACATTATAAATTGAAGACCTTCTTTTTCACCAAATGAGTGTGAACCCGGCCTTTCACTGGATCCCAGAGAGTGTGCGCATGGTGAGTCCACATTTTATAACTTCCCAAATGAAATATACATATAATTGTAAATTTTCCCTAGGCGCCTTCGACTTAAATATGAACCGCACGAATTGCGAACCTCGTATGGTTTGTTACAGGAATATAGGTGAGCCTTGCCAGGAGCTTGTCGCTAGCAGCAATTGTTTGCCACCGCTRGTTTGTAATTGTGGTAAGTGTAGTGAAGTGTTGAGCTACTTATGCCGCAAAAAAATGCCACCGATATTGAATATGTCAAAGCGCATGAAACCGGTTTATACGGAATACGTCTATTAAAATTGCATTAGATGCTGTAGCTTCAAACAAAATTTTAGATGGACAAAGATGAAAAGCACCGAACCAAAGGACTCGCGATTGAAACTTGATATACAGTTATAAAATATGAAAAATTAATCCAAGTAACATGCTAAAATGCGTAAAAGATGTATATTCATATATATATTCAGTATTGATTTAGCCTTAAGTATAATGTATGCTCTGAGCCGGTAGTAAACTTAAAAATGTTAAACAAATAATTCATGTTAATTAAAGTGCGTGCAAATTTACAAAACTTACTAATGTTTTCTTACTCATTACGCCCCCTACACCAAGGAAGGGCTGTAAGTGAAAAGACCTACCTTATAATAAAAAATGAGGGAAATATGTATCAAAGAATTATTTTCAGACCAATTTCAAAAAGCTCGAGAAATTATACTCTATCAGAAGAAAGGAATCCTTGCCTAAGTTGTACCTGCCAACCTATGTCATTTGCAGTATGGAAGACACGCACTCGATGATAAGGCAAGTAAAAGAAAGGTTCCTTCGTTTTTGTTTCCGAACACAGTTGCATGCAACAAGCACTGAAACTTGCAAACTAATCGCTAAAAGAGTCAGCACATTTCATTAGGTGTATAGTATGCCAGCAGTAGGCTTAGTAAAGATCATCGACAAYAAGTGGTGGTCAGACCACAAATATTTCTTAACCGTTAGATGCAGCAAACGCCGGAAACTGGGAACGAATAAATTCGTGGATCTAATAATGTGCATGCTTCTAAATTCTAGGCAGGGCAAAACAGTGGGAAAGCGATGGAGRAATAGAAGAGTAAAATGTTGCTAGTTAAAAAAAAAGCTATTAGATTATGGGGTAAGCAGCAAAACGCACGGCAACAGAATATGCGCACTTTAACCTGTGCAGAACACATTYCAGACKMWCTKTTGTCTCAGCAATGTAATAAAAATRTTGTTGCAAATTAAYTGAAASACATAAAATATAAATGCGATGCACCTTTGTCTTGCCATAACGAAGCTTTAACCGCTAATAGTGTTTGCTCATGAGTATCACGGTTATTAGCCGTGCGTGATACCCGCTGGAATGTGCTTACGCAGTAGAAGAGGCTGCAGCAGAGAATAATGGTTTGAATTGTGGAAAAATACTTTTAAAACCTGTTAGTTTGTATTGAATCGCCTTGTAGTCCGTGTATTTTTATTCAACCAAGCAGAATGCTTTAATTTCACAGGGCAGATAGGTGGATCAGAACAAATTTTAWCGATTATTAAATTTTATCGGATGATTCTATGAGCAGGTAGCAAAATAATGATTACTTGCTTGCAATTAATCAAAAAAAAAAGAATCAAAAACAACACTTTTTTTTTTTTTTGAAAGTTGAAAAATTCTAATTATGAGCCTTACGAAGTATTAGGGTATATAACTTTTGATGACAGCCTTTAATTCTTACACATGACATCAAAACCATAATACGCCAAGTTAAATCGCAACGGTAACTGTGGCCAATTTTGAATTGATTCATGCAAAATAATATTCCTAATATTGCTAACAAKAATATGTATGTATGTGAGTATGTATTGTGGTGAGAGGTAAAGTACTTTTYAARTGCTGTTGATYTAAAATTATTTATAAAACATTTCTTAGATAAGTAGTTTAGTGATTTTTTCACAAAGTATTTCTAGAGCATGTGTCAAAGCTTTAAATAGGGTGGGATACAAAAACAGCTTACAGAGGGATGCAGTAAAAAAGCTTAATGGAACAAAATCAATCAATTTCGACAAATCCAGCGCAAACGATGGTTAAGCCAATATTGGCAGTTAGAAGGTTCTATGTGTTTAATGGGCTTGGGAGAGATCTACTCCTTCCTCTGTTATACTCCTAAATCAGACAAGTAGTGTCAATAATTTAATCATCAATTAAGTAAGCAATCGCCAAGAAGCGGACAGCTGTGGACAATAGCAGAGGAAATCTGTTCGACCAAGAAAACATCAGGTCAATCACACACAGCGTTAGTGACTCGTCAAAAGTTCCAATGGCTCAGTTTTGATGTTCTTACGATCTTATAGACTACAGGCTGCTCTCTATGTTTCTATCTTAACAAAGACTGGTTCAATTGAACTTCGCATGCTAACCGAAATGATAAAACTATCGAAACTGTGCAACAACCTAACAAATGGCGCTAAAAAAATGAGCAGTAACCGAAAAACCCAAAACTCGTTGAAGTCTCTGAAAGTCATCCGAACTGGGGATTACAAAAACCTACTGCATTAAACGTTGATATATTGTATGGATTCAGGAACCTAGTTTGTAGGCGAAAATAAAGTTTGTAATAATATATCTGCAGACGTTTTTTTTTTTTTTAAGTCCGGGTCAAATTTGATCAGAKCAAATAAATGATTTTTCTAACTACACTTTATATATAACCTCTATAAAATTTATGATTTGTGACTTCAAGAAAACTTGAGTACRTTAATGCACTTGTTTTGCACAACAATGGAACTTCCGTCTAATTCTTTCCTAAAATATTAGCAAATACTCATAACACTAATTGCGGTAAGTATAACACAAAAACATACATTAAAAAAATTGCGATGAATTCAGAGCTTTTCAAAAAGCAAATTCGTTCATTATTTACTTCCGTCTTTTGTTTACAAAATTTTTCAAACAAACAAAATCCAAATTATTACTAAGTACCTATATATAATATAAAGTAATTTGGATTTTTTTTTTAATATCCCATTAAAATTTTTATTATAAATTATCCGCATCAAATTGATTAAATTACCAGACATCTACTTGAAATTATTGGCGTGTGAAACTACAACTCACAACTAACCATTATTTTCATATTTGTGTGGTAATTTGGAAAAACAGTCCAGTAGACCACACAACATGAAGTGTCAGAGCTCGCAAAGAGCTCGAAATAATAATTTGATATGCACAGAGTCTACGCAGTTGGCACTAGACTGAAATAGGCATAAAAGCATAGATATGCATGCGAAATGCGTTTAATTAACGAGTGGCCTGCCACTGGTTTTTCACGCTGCGCATGCGCACATACATATCGCGGCGCAGTGGGCCGTTGTCGCACTTAATGAGGTAATTTTATTGATTTTGTGGCACGCAGACGACCAAAGCGCAAAGCTAATATTAGAGATAAATACCAAATGCTTGATATTCAAAATGAATGCTTGTGTAATTATGTAATATACCTACATACACAAATATAAATAGCGAACATATAAGGAAATGTTCTGCAAATAAACTGCTAAACGCAGCCATTAWTCAGCAAATTGAAATATTTTTGCACAACTATCAGCGGTATTTCACCAACACACACACACAAGTGCTCGAAGTAAATAACCGTTAACTATTGCTAGCGTTTAAAACCCAATCACTAATGCCTAATCGCTGCACTTTGCTTCGTATATTTTTGTCTCTGTGTTCAGTTGTATGATTTCGAATTGCTCCAAAGCTGCATAAATTCTCGCATTGCGTTGGTKTTTTTATAACTGATRTTKGTTTTGTTGTTGTTRGTATTTGGCATGCTGTCACAGCGTRTTTYGCGTAGGAAGGACACACAGCCGCCAAAGCGCATTTATTATGCATGTAAAATGGTGCACAGTAAATACAAAAAATAAATGCACTAAATTCAAATGTGATCAACTAAATAAAGAAAGAAAAAATGTTGAATTCAGTCGCACCGAAGCTGWAATACCCTTCTCAAAGCAGTCCGATCGAAAAAATAGTATATGTTGTTTTGGATAATTGCGTGCAGATATCTCCTTAAACAGAAAAGTTCCCCATATAGATGTGTATAAGAGACAGGTAATACCCTTCTCAAAGCAGTCCGATCGAAAAAATAGTATATGTTGTTTTGGATAATTGCGTGCAGATATCTCCTTAAACAGAAAAGTTCCCCATATAAAATCATAATTCCGATCGCTCAGTTTGTGTGGCAATATACAAGGTGCGTTCCACAGTAAACAGGACTTTTGACCACCATCAGGGAGCACCATCTATACGTCGACTGATGAGTTAGAATCTGCTATCTTTATCGATTTTCCAGTGAGAATTATGATTATGATATTTCATTGATTGGAGTGAAGTTATTGCATTTGAAGTGTCAGTATGTTTGTGCTATGGGTGTGAAAATGAGCTTCGAACAAAGCGCCAACTTTCAATTTTCTTTTAAAATTGGTAAAACTTTTACCGAAACGTTTCAATTGATGAAACAAGTTTATAGCGATGATTGCCTATCCCAAAGCAGAGTGCACGAATGGTTTCAACGTTTTCAAAGTGGTCGTGAGGACATAAATGACGATCAACATATGGGCCAATCAAAATCCGTGATCACCGGAAATTCCATCAAACTGTGCGTGAATTCATCAAAAATCAGCCGAAATCATCATTGAAGAYTGCTGAGAATCCAACATTCAAAGGACGATTATTTGACAAAAAAMCACATTTTAACCATTAACCACTCCCCGTATTCRCCTGATGTGGCACCGTGCTACTTCTTCCATYTCGGMRAAMTATATTTGCCCATGAAATGAAAGCTTTCTTYAGACGTAGAGGCCATTCAAAAGGCTTGCACCATYTTYATTTCTATATACCATATATCAGGTCTTTTCATAAAGCCGCTACAAAAATAGTTCGATAGAGACAGCAAACGACGCCATATTTTACCCCTCTTTCGAAATTTCGTTTGAGTAAGGTTTGCAATTTCAACKTGGAAGGATATACAATCCAACAGCACGTCGAAATTATTAAAACTTTTTAGCAAAATTCGGAGTCAGTCGCCTYAACTTTTAGAGCGCTGGTCATAATCGTACTGTCAGATCAACAATCAAGAGTCTAGTGGAAAAATTTAAGACCACAGTCGCAGCATAAAATGTTTCCTTGCCAGTGAGACAAAGAAGTGCCTGTTGTATCCTGAATATTACTGCCGCTAGCGCATCGATTCAGAAAGACGAGACGAAAGGCGTCGTTTTCGAGCATTGGACATTTTTGTGACGTCGTTTGAACTCAAACTGCTTGACCACCAGCATCATCGTATTTTCGTGAATTGGGCTGAGCAACAACTCGAAAATTATCCGGGTTTTCATCAAAAATTCAACCGGCAAGCCGCTCAATGATAACCGAATATATTTGGCCTGAATTGGACAATGTGGACTTGGATAAGTGGTTCAAACAGGACGGCACCACAAGGGGAAGGTGTCATGTCAGTAAATGGCCCAGTCAGT